GCCTGGAACAGGACCAGGGAAGCAAAGCAGAGGCAGACGGGTGGGCAGGCTCACCTTCTGGGGCGCGGTCCACCGTGTACCAGAGCTTGAAGCGGGCAGAATGCTCGTTCCTCAGCTCCTCCAGCTCGGGCCGCAGCAGGATGTCCTGCTCCGTCTATGGGAAGCAGGGCCAAGCAGTCACGGGGAGGGTGGGCGGCAGGGCCCGGCCTGGAGACACTCTATAGAGATGTCCCCCACCCCCAGGGCCACGCATGTGGATGCTCCCCCCAAACCCACCGTCATCTCGCCGACTGAACTCATCACTGCCCCACTTAAAAAATCCCAAAACCCACTGACTGGACGGCAGAACCTTTGTGGGATTTCTTAGCTGCTCAATCTTTATGAGAGCGCAAAGCCTCCTCTTTCTTTCTCAGAGCGAATGGTGGGTTTGAACCACCAACCAAGCAGTTAGCGTTCCACCCACAGCTCCACCAAGGATCCCTGCCGCTCACGCGTGCAAGTGCCTTTCTCTTCCTCTCGCCTGGAGAGCTGAGCACGCTCTGGCGGAACAGCTCACGGAAGCATGTCTCTAATGGCCCAGAAAGGGCTAACGCTCCCTTCGTGACCTGCCCGATGGGGAGGTGGCCCTCCCTGTGGCTGGGGGCCCAGAGACCTGCTCCACACGCTTGCCAAGGAGACCTCTCAGAAGCTCTAAGGCGCCCAGGGTGGGTTCAAATGCCAGCCTTTTGCCCAGTCACTGGGCACTGAACTGCTGAGTCCTGCACCGTTATCCCCGGGGCGGAGCACAGAACTGAGAGGGCGGGGACTGGCTGCCGGGCCCTTCTGGACCTCAAGGCTGTTTTACACTTGTCTCTCATGCTGCTTGCCCACAATTAGGAAAACAGCCGGCTTCCGTCCACTAACCTCTGCCCCCCACCCCTCCCTGCACCCCTTCACAGGTCCTGCCCTCTATCCCGTGCCTGCTTCCACTTCCGCAGGAAACACGCTCTGGGGCCAGTGGACAGCCAGTCTGAGCTCAGGGACTGTTTGGAAATCAGGGCCCAAGAGCTTTGTGACCCAGAAAGGTTCGCCTGGGATAAACGGAGCCCCAGGTGGGTGAAAGGCAGGCAGACCCTTCCTGGGGAGCAGGCCCCACTCACACAAGACCTCATTTGGCCATATCCCACTGTCACCAGGTTGAGTTCTGACTCACGGTGGTGACCCAAACAGGGTTTCCCAGGCTGTCCATGCCTAACGATGACCTCGGACAGACCTGGGCTTACAGAGAGGGAAAGGATTGCCCCACGGCCGCACAGCAGGCCGGCAGATGGGCAGCAGGCCTGGGGAAGGGGCCGTGAATGCAGTGGGTGTTTCCCCATTCCAGCCCCCAGAGGCCCGAGTCAGACACTCTGGGCTCCACAGAAGTCTGAGACACGGAGCCACCCCCACTGTCGAGGCCATGTGGGCCCAGGACGCCCCTCACTGCCCCCACAGTCCCGAGTGCTGACCCCTGACCTGGTTGGCAAAGAGCAGGTGGCACACGGTGTGGTCCTCGGGGTCTTTCATGATGGCCCGGATCACCTGCAGCATGGGGGTGATGCCTGCAAAACAGCCCCGTGAGCCCCTGCCCGCCCTCGGCCTCAGCAGCTCAGGTCGCTGGTCATCTGTGCCCCACCCCGCCCATGACATGCAGGACCCCTAGAGCCTGTGACACGCTGGGGGGGCTCCACATACCTGTCCCTCCTGCAATCATGCCCACAGACTTCACTGTCTTGATAACAGGGCTGGATTTCTTATCTGGACGGATGGCAAACTTCCCTGGGCACCAAGGAAGAGGTGTGAGACTCGCTGGGCTTTGGACACAGGAGACCTGCTCCCCCTCCCTCCAGGTCTGGGGCAGGGAGGAGGTTGCGAGACAGCCCGGGACCCCAGCCCAGAATCTCAAATCCCCATGACAGTGAAGGGTGAGGAGGGTCCCCTCACCGGGCATGGGTCTGCTACCTCCGCCTTTCCACCTGTTCCTTTTCAGAGTCAGCCTCAGCCCGTGTGTGGGCCATATGTGACCCCCAAGGACAGGCAGCCTACACCCCCTGCTAGCAGCTTATGCCCCACTCAGCCCGGGTCACCTTTGCCCTGGTAGACCAGCAGCCCGTTGGGACCCCGGAACTCAATGGTGTCCCCGATCTTCATGCTTTCCAGGTACTGGGACATCTTCCCTCCGGCGGGAAACTTGGGGTGGGTGTCTTTGAAGTAAACCTGCAAGACAAACCCGAACACCCTCAGTCCTCTGTCCCTGGGGCTCCTCCATAGCTGAATGAGGCCCCACCCCTCCCCCCAAGCCTGTCTTCCACCTCACATCTCCCTTGAAAGACTAAGCAGCAGTGGCCTGGTATCCGAGGTCCATGGGCAGGCAGCAGGCTGTGTGTCAGCACCCCGACAAACAGCATCCCTGTGGCCACCCCCTCCCACTGGGGCCTCGGGGAAGCCCACCCAGCCCTGCCCCTCCTAGTGGAATTCTTTTTCGCTTTATTGTTGTTCTAGAAGCATCCATGTCCCGGAAAGCTCTGGAACTCAGGCCTGTGCCCTCTGGGCCCCCAAACTGGGGAGAAGGCCGCATGTAGACCCTGTGTGCGCAGAGGGAGAGCAGCTGGCCCTGCTCAGGAATTGGTGGCTGTGGCAGGCCCTGCAGGGCATGTAGGAGTCTGACAGGGGGAGGAAACAGAATCAGTTAGGGGGGTGGTGTCTGCAAGGCTAGGGGGCAGGGAAGCAGGAGAAGTGACAGAACTCACTGTCCCAGCCTTGGACGCCAGAACGTAAACTTTCCCCAGGGCTGAGGGGTTGGGGGCCTGGCCACGTGTAGTATCTCCTTTTCGTTCAGTCCAGGGAGCTGCCTGCTTGGGCAGCGACTTCAATGGGACATGTGCATTAACCCGCAACCTGTCCCCCCGTGCTTTCGGGCAAAGTCCCCAGCTAACTACATCGGGAACGGACTTCTGAGGCCCTGTCTGACCTGACCCCTTTGCACCCTGCTCCAGGGCCACGTCAATCCCTGAACCTGCTCCCCACTCAGCTGCGTCCTCCATACCCCACTACAAGGCCCCAGGCCCTGCTCTATCTGCTCCCAGACGAGGGCCTTCCTAGGGTTGGCCCCTCAGGAGTAGGCCAGTGGTTCTCAACCTTCCTCAAGCCTCGACCCTTTCATACAGTTCCTCATGTTGTGGTGACACCCCCCCCCCCAACTCCAAAATTATTTTCGTTGCTACTTCATCCCTGTCATTTTGCTACCGTTATGAATCAGGTGACCCCCGCTGGTTTACATGAACCCCATCTGAGAAGCCCACCTCCTATCCCACCCTCAGAGCTTCAGCTACAGCCCAGTGGGGGTCTCTAACTCTGCCCCTCTCCCCAGGAAGGGCCAGCAAAGAAAAGGCAGCAGGGCTGGGGTGGGGCTCCAACCCCATCACTTGCACTGGCCTGGTTTCCTCTTCCCCCAGCACAGCCCTCCCTTACTGTCCTGCTGGCTGTATCACCCCCCTCCCCCCACCATCCTCCCAGTGGACCCCCACCTGTCTCCTCTCTCCATCTCCCCGGACAATGCCACGAGGCGTTCCTCACCCTGCTGGCAGACCCAGGGCACACTCCCACCCCACCACCCTGCCACCCTCGAGTCCCAGGGCAGGTGCTCTCAATGGCAAGTGGAGCATCCTTGCTGGTCCCCCAGCTCATCCCCCGCACCCCTCTCCTGTGGGTTGCAAATGCCTAGCCCCAGCCCCAGCCCTCTGCAGAGACTTCTCCCGCCCGGGAGTTTGTGGGTACACTCCAAGTTGCTGAGTTCAGAGAAACCAGGCCTGCAGTAGGGCTGGGCTCTGGAGAGCTAGCTGAGGCAGGATGGTGCAGGCGGGCCACCCCCCCCCCCTCCCCCGCACAGCCACGGCCCTCACTCACCTTGATGACCAGGTCCACAAAGCCCTTGTCATTGTCGCTGGAGACAGGCGTGTAGGGCCGGACAACTAGGCTGCCATCAATCCGAGCCGAGAGGTAGATGTGCTGGCCTGCAGCAGGGTGGGCAGGGTCACTGTGGGCCACCCGCCACCCCTGCAGCTGTCCTCTGAGTCTGGTCAGCCAGCTCCCTCAGCTGTCCCTGCCCCCACAGCCCAGCTTCCTGCCCCCCTTGCCTCTGCAGGGCTGGACCTCCTGCCGGGGACCTGGCCCTTCCACTCTCCTCTTACCTGCCCACCTCCTCCTAGAAGCCTTCCCTGCCTGCCCACCCCTCTGATCCAGTGCCTGACATGACTCACCGATGGGCAGACCCAGGATGTGCTGGGGTGACGGCAGGGCAAAGCGGAACCGTCGGGTGTCATGGCTGATGTTCTGCAAAGACCACAGAGCTGCCAGTCAGGGCACCCTCACCAGCCCTCCTCCTCCCAGGGCCCACAAACGAGGGACCTGGTGCAGCGTGACGCAGCAGACACCAGGGTGGGCACACACGTGCACATGGGGTACGAACCCAGAGGGACCGGCTGCCGCTGGCCCTGAGCAAGGTATGACCCACCTAGCCACACACAGGGTGCTCCTGTGGGAAGCGGATGCAGGGGAGGCTACTGAATGACTCAGCAAGTTCCAGGAAGGAGGAATTCACTCAAGAGCCCAACAGAGCTGGGGGCCAGAGACGCCACCTCTGCTCAGAGCAGTCAGCTCTGGGGAGGCCCAGGGGGCAGGGACCTCAGGGTCGGGTTGGCAAGCTGGGGCTGAGGCTGCAACAAGGCCCCCACACCCAGCGCAGGCCTCCAGGGACGTCTGGAGGCCACTGCATTCCACACCCTGGGCTGGCACACAGCCTGGACGGTGGCAGGCTGGGCAGGGCAGGAGGCCTGCCAGTTTCCGATGTCCCAGCACAAGGCTGCCTAAGCCAGGCTGTGCAGAAGCAGCCTCGGGTAAGTGCGCCAGGAGCCACTCTGGTTCTCATGGCACAGCCATCAGAGGAACTGAATGTAGGTGCCCTCGCCCTGCCCAGGCCTCCAGGGGCCCTGAGGAGTCCCCTGCACACAGGGGCGGCCAGGTGGGTGAGAGCAGAGGGGGCGTGTGGGAGATGGGTGGGTGACAGGTAGCTGACATGCACATGGTCACACTCCCCCACGAAGCAAGTCAGTTGATGAGACAAGACCCGCAGGGAGACGAGGGGTTATCACCTGAGGGAGGGCCAGGGGGGCAGAGCATCTCAGAGGCCCATCCCAGGAGATGGATTGGGGCTCTGTCATGAAAGAATTGCCTGGGCCTGGGGGTGTTTGGGGAGAGATCCGCTGGGCTGAAGTCCTCAGGCAGGGGATGGGCCGTGTCAGGAGGACAGGCTTCCGGGCGATTCGTTAGGTGTACAGGCAGCTGCCAGGCCCCAAAACTGCCTCTTGGAGCCATTTCCAGGATTACTGACAGTCCTGAGGCTCCAGGTCGGAAAGCCGGGCCAGGCAGTTTTGGAGGAGGAGGAGAAGTGAAGGGAAGGCTGAAAGCCCCGGGGAGAGCGCCTTCTGGCAGGGCCGCCGGGCAGTGGGGCACTGCCACTGGGTGGTGTCACGCGCAGCCATGCTGGTTCCACAAAAAGAGCCCGGGGCCTCAGCTGCGGAGGAGCCCAGGGTTGCAGCCGCTGGGGCAATCCAGCCTGTGTGTGTGTGGGGGGGGTCTTCCTCTTTTTGGCTGACCCTCTACTTTACCAAGCAGGATGTCCTTCTCCAGGCACAGGGAATCTCTCAAAAGCAGGTGGGGGGGGGCGGGGGGGGGCTGACCCGTGCAAGACCACCAGGAGGCTATAACTGAGGTGTGCGATGGGGGGGAGCAATTAAGATTTTATTGCTGCAACATTTGCATCAGAGCTCGGGGCTGCTGGGAAGATTCATCGGCTCAATCAAGAGGGCTGGCGGGTTCGACGTGGGAGTTTCTTGTTTTTTTGTGTGTGGGAGTTTCTTGTGAGGACATACGAGACAGGTATCAAAGACAAAAAACCAAAACAACTCCAAACCACTTTGCCATTATGTAAGAAAAGGCTCCAGTGTATGGTTGAGCTGGAAAAAAATAGGATATTAAAAAAAAGAGAACTTCTTATACAAACATCTGTACACTTCCATAAGTCGCTGGGTGGGGCTAATGACTGGCACTTGGCAACTAATAGGATAATATCTATTATGTCTACAAGGAAGTCCAGCTAACACAACTATCATTCAAATGTATGGACCAACCAACTTTAGTGAAAGCTAGTGATGAAGAAATTGAAGAACTGTACCAACGTCTTCAGTCTGACGTTGGTCACACATGCAGTCAGCATCCATTGAAAATGGCTGGCGACTGGAATATGAACATTGGAACCAAGAGAAGGCTCAGAAGTTGGAAAATATGACCTTGATGATAGAAACAAAGCTGGAGGTCACACCAAAGTATTCTGCTAGACCAATGACTACATCATTGCAGTACCCTTTTACAACAAGGTAAATGTGACCACACATGCAGACCTCATCAGATAGAACACACAGGGATCAAAATGATTCCCAGTACATCCGTGGGAAGGGGTGTTTGGAAAATTCAGTGACATCAGCCCAAACAAGGTCAGGGGCCACCTGTGGAACAGACGTCCACTGCTTTTAGGTACGTCCAGCGTGATGCTGAAGAAAACGAAAACAGAGTCCGCCAGAGGCAAACTATGACCCTGAGTGTCTTAGATCCAACCTGAGTTCAGAAAGCACCTCAAGGACAAATTTGACACACTGAGCACTGGGTGAGTACCGACTCAGCTGGGTGTGGGTGGGATGACATCAAGACATCCTGCATGAAGAAAGCAAAAGGCCACTGAAAAGCTGGAAAGAAAAGACCAAAGTGGACGTCAGAAGAGACTAGACTCTGAAGTCGAGACGCAGTTGAAGCCAATGGAAGAAATGAACGCAGGACAGAATTATAATTATAATGGAACAAATGTGCAGAGACCTGGGTCAGAAAGCCGATAAGGAAGAACCCATTCAGCCTTTCTTAAGCTGGAAGACCTGAAGAAAAGAATTCAAGCCTCGAGTTGCAATACTGAAGGATTCTATGGGCAAAATTTTGAATCATGCAGGAAGCAGCTAAAGAAGAGATGGAAGGACACACAGTCACTGCTCCCAAAAGAGTTGGTTGATGTCCAGCCATCTCAAGGGGCAGCATATGATCCAGAACCGACAGTACTGGAGGGAGAAGAGCAAGCTGCGTTAGCAACAACAAGGCACCAGGCATTGGCAGACTACCACCTGAAACGTGTCAACAAACTGACAGGGCTGGAAGCACGTATTCGTGTATGCCAAGCAATCTGGATGACAGGTACCGGGCCAACTGACTAAAAGAGCTCACATGTGTGCCCATTCCAAAGAAAGGTGGCACAACAGAATGCACACATTACAGAATATCATTAAGATGCAAGAGAAGTTTTGCTGAGGATAACTGAAAAAACAAAGCAGAAAACACTTGCAGCAGGACACTGACAAGGAGCTGAGCTAAAAGCAAAGAATACCGGAAAGATGCTTGCTTGTGTTTTCTTGACTAAGCAAACGACATTCGATTGTGTGGATGGTAACCAACTGTGGATAACGAGTGTGAAGAATGGGCGTTCCAGAACACTTCACTGTATTCACGCAGAACCTACCCACAGGCCAAGAGGCAGTCAGTGGTTAGAACAGAACAACAGGGCGCGTCATGATTTGTCAGGGAAGGGCCGCATCACCCGTTGCAGCTCCTCACCGCATGTGTTCAATGTGAACGGGGAGCAGAGAACCCCAGAAGCTAGGCTCTGTGGAGAGCCTGGCATCCGAAGCGGAGGGAGGCTTACTGACCTGTGACTGCAGCGAGCCTTTAGGGTAGTTTACAGCTTAAAGAAAACTCACCTCCTCGAAATCGGACCTGGAGGCAACTTCATGCTCAACATGAAGAGATTTGATTCTCCTTGAATCTCTAACCAACAACCCTGGGAGCAGCCGTCGAGAAATCCAAGGACCTACTGCACTGGGCGAATCTGCTGGCCAGGCCTTCTTTGAAGTGCTTCCCTTTGAGGACTAAGGTGCCCTGCATCCAGCCTTGGTGTTTTCAATGGCCTCACACCTATGTGAAACCTGGACCATGAACAAGGAGGGCCGCAGACAAATGATGCCCGCTGGCATCGAGTATGAAACACACCGCAGACTGACTGCCAGAAAAGCCAACACACCTCAGAGCAAGGGCAGCCTGAGCGCACCTTAAGAGGCAAGGGTGGCGAGACTCTGGTCAGCCCAAAAGAGGAAGACCCTGTCTGAGATGGACTGACACAGTGGCTGCAGCAATGGGCTCAGACACACGACTGGAGCGTGGTATAGGACGGGCAGTGTTCCGTCTGTTGTCTGGAGATCCGGCTCAATGACCCTTCACCACGACGACTGGCCTCAAGGGCTCCGCATCAAACCCACCCAGCGGCGGCGCTGTCAAAGGAAAGACCCGGCCATCTACCCCCCAGGGGGACGACGGTCAGCAACCCTAGGGAGATGTCCTGCTCTGTCATCCATCGTCCCTTGAGTGGGGATGCACCTGATGCCAATGGGGCAGGCGTGTGTGTGTGTGTGTGTGTGTGTGTGTGTGTGTGTGTGTGTGTGTGTGTGTTTTAAAAGGTTGTGCCGCCACTGTTAGGTGCTGTCAAATCGCTCCCGACGCATAAGGATCCGATGGATGTACAACTGAATGAGCCACCGCCCCGTCTGGCGCCATCCTCACTGTCCTTGTCCCTGAGCCCACGGCTGCAGCCACTGTGCCCATCTATCTCTTCCAGGGGCTTCCTCTCGTGCGCTGCCCCACCCACTCCTTTGACCTTGGTAAAGCATGGTGGCCTTGTTCCCTGCTGATCAGCTGTCCAGAGAGCATGAAACAAAGTCTCCCCACAGTGCCCTCAAGAAAGAGCATCGTACAAAGAAAGTTCAAAGGTCATTAAAAAGACATGGGGAAAAATTTTTTTTAATCAAAAAAATAAAAAGGAAAAATGTAGGATTTTTCGTGAACTGGCTGAAGCCCTCTTGCATGCATGGATATCAAAGAAAAGGGTTGCTGTTACAATTTCCCTGGCCACTCTCCATGTGAGGCTGTGGGTGGGGGTGGGGGTAGGATGAGTGAAGGGGTGGAGAAGAGGCAGTCCTTCCTGGTGGGAGGGCAAAGAAGTGTGTAGGGGATTCAAGCCCCTCGGACATTTGAGGAAAGCAGGCTGGGCGTGCCTCCTGGCAGGGGTAGGTGCAGTCGTGCTGTGAAGCCCACTGGGGACTCTAACAGTGCTTCGGGCCCGCGACGTAGAGTACCAGGGAGTGGAGGGACAGAAGGAGGGTGAGCCCTTTCCCCTATGGAACTGGGCACATATTGGGAAGCATGTGGTGGTGGTGGGGCACCCCTGGATCTGAATTTGGTTTGACCCCCGACTCACAGTGGCGGCCTGGACCCCCAAACCAGAAAGTATCCCCTTTCAGTTGACCTTGTGTGGGAGCGAGAGGAGGGGCCCAGAGGTCAGAGAAACCTGGGCTCAAATCCCACCTCTGCCACTCACTGGGGCCTTGGCCAGCGATGCACCTTGCTCTTCCTGTCTGTAAAACGGGTTGCCAGTGGGACCTGCATCAGGGACACTGTGCCTGGGAAATACTGTGACACTCCTGAAGGAGCCCTAAGGGTGTCCTGGGCTACGTATGCCTTGGCTGCTAACTGCAGGGTCAGGAGTTTGAAACCAACCGCAGCTTCACAGAAGAAGCGGCCTCTACTCCTGTAGAGATGCAAAGTTGCAGAAACCCACCAGGGCCGTTCTAGCCTGGCCTACAAGGCTGTTAGGAGACAGAATGGACTCGCTGGCTCTGGGCCCCACACTCACCTCCTTGTCGACCAGCCGCAGCGGGTACTTGATGTCCGGGCTCTCTAGGGTGATGGCCGGGGTGGAGCGCTGGAACAGCTTCATGAGCAGGTTGTAGATGAACCAGACCGGGGAGAGCACCACGTGGCCCAGCTGAAAGGGCAGCGAGGTCAGCGAGAGCTCCCCAGACACACCAGCTCTCGCTGTCCCTCTGCCAGCCACCCTCACTCAAGGGGCTCCAAGATCCATGTTGGTGAGCACCCAAATCCAACCTCAGGAAAGTCATCACCCAGTGATGGGGGACACAGCCCCCAAGCCCGCGCGGTCTGTGGGGGCGGAAAATTCTTCCAGGCTGACAGCTCAGGAAAGCTCCCCTTCCCTGGGGCACCGGGCTGAAGAAGGTGCCTCACTCAGCACGTGCCTCTGGCTGATTCACTTTGGCTGCCAGGACGCGCTAGGCACCCTGGGGGTGCAGTGGTTACACATTGGTTGGGCTGCTAACCACAAGGCCAGCAGTTCAAAATCACCAGCCGCGGGGGGTGGGCAGGATGAGGCTTTCTACTCCCATGAAGAGTTACAGTCTTGGAAACCCACAAGGGACAGTTCTACCCTGTCCATAAGGGTGGACTGAGTCGGACTGAGCTCGATAGCAGAGTTTTGATTCTAACGACAGAAAATGGGAAGACACGCTTCCAAATCCCAGTGCCACGAAGCCAGAGAGAAGCTGAGGGAGTGGGCCCGAAGGGGCCAAAGAGGCGTGCACCGCGTGCCCAGTCGTGGGTGAGCTCCCGGGCTGGGGAGCGGGGTGTAAAGGACACCTGTGGAGGATGGGTGAAATGTGAGCAGGGTTGTGGGTTAGGTAACCGTGTATGTCGGTGTGGTTACCTAACAGAGAGAGCCCTTGTTCTTGCGACCCAGGTGCTCGCTACAGGGCAGGGGATACAGGAATTTAGGGACCAAGAGGCATTCTGTCTGCAATTTACCCTCCAATAGCAAACAACAACAAAACCAACGACACACAGGGAACACACACACAATCCGCAGAATACCACCATCAAACAAATCCACAGCCAATGAGTCGATCCTGACTCTGGGAGCTCCCGCGGGGTTTCCCAGGCTGCTCATCTTTATGGGGCAGATTGGTCTGGGCGTTCTCCCAAGGAGCAGCTGTGGCTTCCAGAGGAAAAGTGGCACGGAGGGAAAGCCCACATTGGTGTTCAGAGTGCGGGGTCAGCATGGGGGTTCCCCTGTCCCACTGGCTCGTTCACTCGCCCTCCCCCAGTACCTCCCGAGTTTGCTTCTGTCTGAAATAACGGGGTGTTTTCTTACCCTCACCTCCAAGAGCCCCTCGTTGCCTTGTTCATCAGAGGCTTCGGGGGGCGGCGTGTTCTACAGAGCACTGACCTGAAGGATGGTCCCCCCACCCTGTTCTATTAGGCTGAGTGAGATGCGCCCCACCCTAGATGCCCCACTGGGTCTCCCCCGCCACCCTCAGCCTAGAGAGGGCACTCTGAGGCCTCGGCAGCCCGGCTGCCTCTGCTTCCTCCAACCCCTGACTCCTCCAGCGGGGAGTCCAGGGTCAGCCTCTCTCTGCCCCCAGGTCCCATGAGGCCCTGAACTAGCCAGGCACACCGGGGTGTCCTGTCAGTGCCTAGAAGCACAGCACAGTATAACTCAGGGGTCCTCTGTTCCAGTCCTTGGGTCTCTGGCCTCAGTCGCAGAGGGTCTGTGCCCAGGAAGTATGGGCCCGGCACAGGGGAGTTTTCCCGCCCCCACCAGGGGACACAAATAGAATACCTGTGAAAGGGCAGAGGGTCCCCCAGCCCCACCCCACCAGGCCCCAAACTGGCCCCGCAGCTTCATGTATGCAGTGCCTAGGGGCCTTTGTTGGGCTCAGAACAAAGTGTTTCTCCCCCGGGGAGGGCCTCCGCCTGGATGCAGCAGATGTCTCACCCCACAGAGCCCTTGGTATGCTGTGTGGGCAATGTGGGTCTCAAAAGGAGGCCGAGGGCTCCCGGCCCAGCCCCCACCCTCCAGTGCAGAGTCACACAGCCAGGCTCACCAGGCACATCCTGGCATTCACTCTGGGCCGTGAATAAGGCCCTGGTGGACATGGCAGACTACAGGGTCACAGGGTCCCCAGTGGGACCTCAGGAGAGGCCCAGAGCTCATCAAGTGCACCCTAAGGGCACCCCATCTTGCCAGGTAGGGTAGGGGTGACAGGAGGAAAGCAGATGGGGCCCAGTAAGAACATCGGTGAGGCTTGCTCCATGCTGGCCCTGCTGAGTGGTGATGGTGGTGTGTGGGGGTGGGGTGGGGATACCCAGTTACCTCCATTAACCACAGAGACGGGTACTGAGGCCTGGAGGGTGAGTAACTCGCTGGGGATGCTGCCTCTCACAGACGGAGAGGCTAAGGGCTGGTCCAAGGAGGAGAACGAGGGGACAGAGGGACAGGCTGCCCAGAACAGGTACCCTCCCTAGCCGACGTCATGGAGGCCAGAGGTGAACCCCCTGCTCCACCACCTGGCACAGTGAGGTCTGAGCACCTGGTTTCAGTCCCCGCCTGTCCAAACCAACAAGCAGCTCACTGACTCCCCAAACCCTGACATACCAGGGCACCCTCGGCTCTGCAGACCCTGAATGGAGCCCTAGCGGTGCAGCAGTTAAGCTTGGCAGCTAACCAAAGGTTATAGGTTCAAAGCCACCAGCCACACACTGCACAGGAGAAAGAAGTGGCAGCTTGCTTCTGCAAAGACTTACAGGCCTGAACCCTCAAGGAGCAGTTCTACTCTGCTCTACAGGAGTCAGAATTGCCGTGAGGGCAATGGGCTTGGTTTGGTTTTCTGCCCCAATGCCTTCCGTCTGCTCTCTGCCAACCAACAAACTCCTGTGCATCCCCGAGAGCCAGCTTCTGCACTATCACTTGCTCTGTGAAGCTTTCCCAGGCTGCCTCCTCCCCGGCTAACCAGGCCTTCTCCACACTTCCCGAGGCCCTGGTCCACTGCGCAAGCCCCCTGAGGTGTGCGCAGAGGCCACTCTGCTGATCACTGTGACCCGGCCCCTCCCACGGCAATCACAGAGGCCACCTCCTTGGGAATATCGCTGAGGGGAAAAGCTGAGTGCAGTCACAGGAAATTGCCATTGTTCAGAGCCAGGACATGAACCTGAAGTGACACTCAGAGCCACTCAGTTGGTGCTCACTGAGTATGCTTTCCTGGAGCGGGGCCTGTAGGGGAGACCTGGGCTAGCAGCTCTGCCACAACGGCGAATACCTGCCCAGTGGTCTCCTGACACTCCCCAGCCCCTGGGCAGGAATACCCACCGTCCCTTTGACAGGGGAGGAAAAGGCTTAGGGGGCTCCAAGGGAAAGTCTGGCCATGGGTTCCAGTTTCCACCCCGGGTTACTCCTGCAGTGGGGACGGATGCTTTTGCTGTGGCCTCTCACCGGGGTCTTCGGGCACCCTCGACTGGGTGGGGCTATGCCAATCAGAGCTGTTTGTGGCCCACCAAGCCGACTGGATTGCTTGCTAATAACACAAAGTATGTGGCATCAGGTCGGGGTGGGACCGGACAAATAAGGTGGCTTACAATGCACCATCCCAGAGGGGGACAGGAGGACCTCACTACCATCTCAAGAAGGAACAGGAGCTGAGCATATTCTTTGCACACAAGGTGTCTATGCTGAGAACCTTCTAGGCCCAGGGACAGAGAGGAGGTGGCAGCTGCAGGAGACCAGCTTGAGACAGCACAGCGGGCTTTCTGGCCCTCGGAGTGTGTGGCCACCTAAAACCACAGAGCAAGAGGTGAGCGCCTTCGGGCCTAGGCTTACTGGAAGAGTGGGGTGCCTCTGGGCATTTATTGGCAGAGCTAAAGAGTTTTGTAATGTTTGCACAAATAGGGCAGAGACTGGACCTAGGGGCTGAAAGGCCAAGGGTCAGAAAAGAGGCTGTCTGAGGGCATGGCCAAGGAGCTGTCTGGGGGTTTTTCCTGATCTGGACTTGTATCTTGCTACCCCATAATTGTTGAGCTTGGCCTGGGACTTCTGTGTGGCCACTGCCACCAGTGAGCAGACCCAGCAGAGGCACAGAGAATGCTGTGGGCAGCACAGTGCTGTTGGTGTCGGGATTCTAGGGGTGGGGCTGGGGGGAGACGGTGGAAGGTGAAGGTATAGCTGACCTCAGCTTCACAGGAACCAGCCTGAGGCTGCAATCTTGGTTTTTCCTCCCCCGGTGAAGTTGGACACCACTTACATCTTCCCCGCCAGCCCCTCAACTGTGGGGCCCAGGATGTGCGCAGGTGGTGAGTGAGACATTCCTCCGGCAACAGCTCCAAGTCTCTGGGTGCCAGCTTGAAGCTGGCCTCAGCCCTCACATGCATGAACGCAGGGCAATCTTGTCACCCCTGTGGCCCCAGAGCAGGAGGCCCTCAGTCCAGGATTTGATGAAGGGACAAGTCCCAGTCCCGTGTCCCCAACCCCATTGTCTCTCTTTATTTGACCTGGAGGTTTCTAGAACCGGGATAAGCACCCAGACTCCTCCTAGGTGAGCGAGGGGCACAGCCCATCCTGTTTGTCTTAAAGCTGACTGTCCTCTGAAGAGCCAGACCTTGGAGGTGGGCCTGGGACTCCCGCTGCCTGGCTCCGCCCAGCTTCCCCTGGTAAACACGGAGAGGACAGACATACCACCCTCAAGGAGTGCACCAGGAGCCACCCATGGGGCAGCTGACAAAGGCTAGTGGCCTTGCTTCCAGCCCCTGCTCCCTAATACCGGGCCACGTGGGGCAAGACGGGCCAAAGGAACCGCCCTCACCCCGCCAACAGCCTCCAGGCCCTGCCAACCCTGGGAGCTGGTGCAGTTACTGCCACAGCTTCAGGTGAGGAAGCCAAGGCTGGGGTAAGGACCCGAACCCAGGTCTGAGCCGGGGCACCCGACTTTTGACATTTCATATGAAAAAGCTCACTTCGGGGGCCAGCATGTCTTCAAATCACTCAGTCCACAAGTCTTGGCAGGCTCACCCATACCAGGGCCCATGCACGGGGTGGGGGACACAGCCTACCCAACAGGAAAGGGGCCACGGGCAGAGGAAAGAGTGGGGGCCATGGCCAGGGAGTGGGGCGCACTGTCGTCTGGAGAATTGGAGGCCTGACC